AACGTTTTCGATTTCTGGCCGATGGACTGGTTTTTGTCGGGTCAGATTCTGGATCAGACAGATTAGTTTGGTACTGATTCTTGGACGCTTATTGGGCAGTTCGGCCATAAATGTATTCGGCCGATACATGCGACAACCCAATAGACAACAGGCTACAGTTGCGCCCAATGAATAAATATCGCACTTACGAGTTGATAGCATCTGGCCGCCACCCATGTTCATTTCGGGTGCCATAAAAATAATGGTACCGCATCTGATTTGCGATTCCATTGACTGTCTATCCGGATAGACGATGGCCGTTCCAAAATCGGCCAATTTGTACTGCCATTGATCAACAGGTTTACCACCATTGGTCGAGTACAGTATATTACCCGGTTTGATGTCCAAATGAACCATACACTGATCGACGTGTAGATACCGGAGCCCCGAACTGATCTGCCGGAGACATTCAATGGTTTGTTGCTCTAACAATGGACCAGACTTTTTCATTTGTTCGAACAGATCGTTGTCGCACATGTCCATCAACACCAAGAGACTCGAATAGGGAAAACCTGTTTGAGAATCGGGAACACCTATAATGTCGACAAATTGAACAATGTTGTCGTGCTTCAGATACCGGAGCTGATACATATCGGCCAACATAGTTTCCACTTTTTTCTTGTAATCTGCTTTGTTTGGATTAAAGCGCATCACTTTACAGGCCAACTGCACGGTCTCCCATTTTACTGATCCGGTTTGTTTGTCAGCACTAACCTCCCAAACCACACCATAAGAACCCGATCCTAGATGGCGTACAAACTGAATATTACGCCACAGTTGACCAGGTATTTCTTTACTAACATACCTAAGCTGTTTATCGGGTAGCGGCAGTCCCTTTGCATTCGCCAGCTGGCAATCTGTGCCAACCATTGACTGGTTTGGCCACAATTGCTCCCAATTTGGCGGTCCCTGTATTGGTAAGTCGTACTCAAATTGAAACGGTCCGGTATTTCGCCTAAAGTCGTTGTCGTCGAGCTCATCATACATGTCTTCAAATTTGAAACCCTTTCCCGTACCAAATGGATTGGCCGGTGGACCCGGTTTCCAGAACTGCCAACTTTTTGTTCTTACTCTGCCCTTTCGTTCATCATCTAGATATTTAAGATATGCCGGACTTACCTGATATGTCATTTTTATTGTTGTTGTTGTTGTCACCTACCAGTGCTGTCTCTCTAAAGTAAAATCTGTGAATCTTTCTAGAAATTTTTGAATTATTTAATATTTTATTTTTATTTTTTGAATAAAATTTTTATTTTATTCAATTTTATTCAATTCTCCAATTGTTGTATTGTGTAGTTTTGATAATTCATATCATTTTATTAATTGTTCTAAAGTTTTATTAATTTAATTTCTAAATCTGTCTAAACTATCCCATCTCCTACCAAAAACTAACATTTTTTAGTTAATAAAATTACAGGTATTAAATATAGGATAACTACTCTAGTAATATAGTTTTTTAATGTTTTTTTTTTAAAAAAATAAATTGGTAACTGAATACTTTAGTCACAGCACTGGTAGGTTTTTGAAACTAATTTAATCTCTCTCTCTCTCTCTCTCTCTCTCTCTCTCTCTCTCTCTCTCTCTCTCTCTCATTAAAATTTAAAGCAATATATTTATTTTACAATTTGAAAACAATGTGTGTTTTTTCTTTACCTTTTTGTCTGTTTGTTTGTCTCATAGATAGTTGAGTTGATCGGATAGTGTTTGGGCGTCGGGACGATGTAGCGGATCCTGATTTATCATTTGAAGTATCAGATCTTTGAACGGCGTACTAATATTCTGGATATTCTGGAGTAGCATATAAACATTGGTACCCTGGTAGATATTGTTGCCAACTAGACAGTTGACTACACTGGCACCAAGCGAATAGATATCGGTCGGCGGTGTCTCTACAGGTGTTCCCCATTGACCAGCGTTGCCGAACGGATTGCCGTGCGCCTGTACCCATTCGGGTGCCAAGTAGTCCATTGTTCCGCCGGGAAACATTGTTTCCTGCATCGGTTGGTTCTTGTTGTAGACAATGGCAAATCCAAAGTCGCCCAATTTATAGAGCCGTTGACAGCAACTGAAACCGACTTTTTTGTACAAAATATTTTGCGGTTTGATGTCCATATGGACCATATATTGTTCGTAATGTAGATAACAGATCGCTGAAACAATCTGTTTGAGCCAACCTATTGTCTGTTTTTCATTCATGGTATGCGAGCCTCGTATAAAACTATCGATATCGCCGTTACATAACTCCATGAGCATCAATATCCGCGAATAAGGAAATCCAGTTTGCGGATCGGGTATACCTATAAAGTCGACATATTTGACAATGTTTTTATGCTCGATAAACTGTAGCCGTTGCAAATCGGCTAACATTGTATTAACACTATTACGGACGTTACCGAATTGGCTGTTTTTGTAGGTCATCACTTTGCAGGCCAGTCGCAAGTTTTCCCATTTCTGCCAAAACATGATTTTTCTCAGACCATCCTTTTTGAGCTTCTGTCGTGTACGCACTTCCCATACGCTACCAAAACTGCCGGATCCCATCTGACGTACAAACTCTATGTTCTGCCATTGGTCGCTATGTCCTTCATCTTTCACATACTTGAGATGATCGTCCAGTAATGCCTGTCCCATTGGTATAGTTCTTTGGTGATCCCGGCCAATCTTGGTCTGGTCAGTAAATACTTGATCCCAATTTTGTGGAGCATTTGCCATAGTTATGTTGTTGTTGCAGTTTTGGTGATAATGGTATATCTGTACTGACCTGTGATGGCTAGGATTTGTGTGATTTTTTAAATATAAATTTAAAAAGCATTGTTATTATCTTTTTATTTATTTTTTTTAGTTATTATAATTATAAGTACAGCACATGATTTTCCTCAGACCATATGCTACCAAAAGATCCGATTTCCAGTTGTCGTACATTTGCCGTATGTTTTGCCATTGATCTCTAGGTCCTTCATCTTTGACATACTGTACATACTTGAGATGATCGTCCAGTAATGGCTGTCCCCTTGGTGTATGAGTTTATAGTGCTCTAGGCTGCCCTTGCTCTGGTCAGTAAGCACTTGATCCCAATTGATCGGTCCAATTGCCATACTTGTGCTACAGCTGGCTGCTGTGGTTTTTGACTATGAGTTTATTTATTTTTAAATATAATTCAATTTTATATATAATAACTTATATTTTACTGTATAATATTTATTAAACATTTAATAATATGTCTAATTATTGATATGTACTGTATTACCTATTTTAAAATTAAATTAAAATATCATACCTTTTTTTAGTCCTAACCCATTTACATTTGAGCCAACCGGTTGCATACTTGTTCAATGGTCGGCCGGTTTTGTGGATTGATTGCAAGCATATTAATCGCCAAATTGTATAATTCACGGGACAAATGTGGACCTGAGATCATCCGTTTGATAAGCATTGGTGCACTTTCACTACCTCTGGTGAAATTTATTCCGAGTAGACTGTTGGCTACTGTGCCGCCCAACGCATATATATCGCACGCAGACGTATCAACCGGTTGATAAACTGGTTGATCCCAATTGACATTCAATTCGTCCGGATTGAATTCATCTGTACCGGCTCTGACGGCCGAAACCATTGGATCGCCTATGTTATTGTTGTAGCTGATGGCCATACCAAAATCGGTCAGTTTGTAGATCCATTGTTCGATGGGAAGTCCGGCCCGACTCACGTACAGTATGTTCTCAGGTTTGATATCCAGATGAACAGTACGCTTGTCGACGTGCAGATACTGAAGCGCTGAAGCAATTTGTCTTAGCCAGGCTATGGTTTGCGTGTGATTTAAACATATATTTGGTTTTTCATTAGCTATCAAAGCAAATAAATTGCCATTACACAGTTCCATAAGCATCACTACAAAAGCATAAGGAAAGCCAGTCTGTGAGTCGGGTATACCAATGATATCGTAAAATTGGACAATGTTTTCATGTTTCAAATACCTGAGCGCATGCATGTCGGCTAACATGGTTTCCACATTACCTTGCCAATCGTTAGCCCAATTGTGTGGACAGATCATCACTTTACAAGCCAGGCGCATCTTTTTCCAGTTCATCCACGGTCTCGGACCGCTATCAACTTTATGCTGTAAAAGTGTCGGCGCTTCCCATCTGCTACCGGTTCGTCGTTCAGCTGTCACATCCCAAACTGCACCGAAACTTCCTATTTCTAGTTTTTTGAAAAACTGTATATTACGCCACAGTTCACCCGGTCTCTCTTGTTTCAGATACTCGAGCTGAGCATCCGGTAGTGCTTTTGGTTTGTTTATCGCATTCAATTGCGGCCGATTGTGTCGATCAGTGCCCATATCGTTCTCCTCTGTCCATATTTCTGACCAATTGGCCACTGACGGCAATCTAGATGTTTGTGGTCGCACTCCGTCAAGCGGTTGATAATAGTGTTCGGCTCCTTCAGGCAATATTGGCCGCATCACTATTGGCCGCATTGGAGCAAATGGTGTCGGCTGTCTCTCTGATACCGGCCTTCGTGTAAAGTCTGGCAATCGGTACATAGGTTTTCGCGGATCCATTTCTACACCTGTACTTTGTATGCTTTGTTTAACTAATTGTTTGTTCCTATTTGACTATCTATTACTCTTCCTCTAACTCTTTATCTTATCTAATCTGATATGAGTTTTGATTTTGTGTTTTTGGTGTGTTTTTCTGATTTTAATTGAAAATATTTTAATTTTAATTGTTATTCAAAATAAATTGTTTAAACAGCAAAAAAAATATTAATATTAAAAAACAGCGAATATTATTAAAACTGTGAGTTTGCTGTAGTTTTGGTGTGAACTGTGAAGAGTCAGTCATTATATGAATTACTGTATATTATTAATAATATTTTACTAAATGTGAATATTTGAGTGAATTTCCTAAATTGTCATTAACCATGAATTATATCTAAAAAAAATTAACCATCATTTTAGGGAAAGTTAACAAATAAGATAAGAAAAATAGTAGTGAAAGGTTAGGATAGACGAGGAAAACAACTGTAAGAAAGAGATGGAGAGTTGAATCCATGAAGAGAGAGAAAGAGAAATTAAATTACTGTAGTTTCAAAACAGTGCTGTGAGTATACAGATAACAGATACCTTTTATTAAAGTATTATTTATAAATAACAGAAATATATTTATTAAAGAAAAAATCTATCAATTTGTTATATTCAATGCTATTTATACATATATTTTTATGTTTTGATTATTAAAGTATAATTACGAGAGAGAGAGAGAGAGAGAGAGAGAGAGAGAGAGAGAGATTAAATTAGTTTCAAAAACCAACCAGTGCTGTGAGTACAGTATTCAGTTACCAATTTATTAAAGAAAAAATCTATCAATTTACTTTTATTTTCTAAAAAAGCATACTTAACATCTACTGATATTTTTGTTTTAAAAAAAGCATACCATTACTCCTAATCGATTATATATAGTCCAAAATGGCGCACACTTTTTCAATGGTTGGCCTGGCCTGTGGGTCGGTTGCAAGCATCCGTATTGTCATACTATATAGATTACGAGACGGTTCTGGCATACCTATCGTCATTCGTTTGGCCAGAATTGGAGGACTGAGCCGACCATTTTCGAAATCCATATGTCCGAGTATACTGTTGGCTACTGTGGCGCCCAATGCATAGATATCGACAGCGCAAGTGTCAATCGGTTGAGCAACTGGTAGACGACAATTGGCATTCATTTCGTCCGAATTGAATTCTTTGGTACCGGCTTTGACGGCCGACACCATTGGATCGCCTTTGTTGTTGTTGTAGCTGATGGTCATACCGAAATCGGTCAGTTTGTAGATCCATTGATCGATAGGTAGTCCGGGCCGACTAACGTACAGTATGTTCTCAGGTTTGATATCCAAATGAACTGTACGCATGTCGACGTGCAGATACCGGAGCGCTGAGGCAATCTGTTTAAGCCAGGCCACAGTTTGCGTGTTAGTGAAGCAATAATTTGGTTCTTGTTCATCAAGCAAACCATACAAATCTCCATTACACAGATCCATTAGTGTCACCACAAATGCATAGGGAAAGCCAGTCTGCGAGTCGGGTATATTTATGATATCATGAAATTGGACAATATTTTCATGTTTCAAATACCTGAGCGCATGCATGTCGGCCAACATGGTATCGACAATACCTTGACAATTGCCAGCCCAAGTGGGAGGACAGCTCATTACTTTGCAAGCCAGGCGTATCTTTTTCCACAGCAACGAATGTCTCGGACCGCTGTCCACTTTATGCTGGAACAGTGTCGGCGCTTCCCATCTGCTACCGGTTCGTCGTTCGGCTGTCACATCCCAAACCGCACCAAAACCTCCTTCTTGTAGTTTTTTGAAAAACTGTATATTACGCCACAGTTGTCCCGGTCTCTCTTGTTTCAGATACTCGAGCTGAGCATCCGGTAGTGCTTTTGGTTCGTTTAACTCATTTAATTGCGGCTGATTGTGCCGATCGGTGCCCATATCGTTCTCATCTGTCCATATTTCTGACCAATTGGCCACTGACGGCAATCTAGAGGTTTGTGGTCGCACTCCGTCAAGCGGTTGATAATAGTGTTCGGCTCCTCCAGGCAATATTGGCCGCATCACTATTGGCCGCATTGGAGCAAATGGTGTCGGCTGTCTCCCTGATGTCAGCCTTCGTCTAAAGTCTGGCAATCGGTACATAGGTTTTCGCGGATCCATTTCTACACCTGTACTTTGTCCTCTTTGTTTAGCTGATTGGTTGTCCCTATTTGACTGTCTATTCCTAAATCTGTATCTTATCTAACCTTTTGAGTTCTCACTGATCTTTTGTTTCTTTTGTATGAAATTGATTTGACCTTTGATTTTGTCAGACGTTTTTGTGTTTTGTGATTTTAATTGAAAATATTTTAATTTTTTTAGTTATTAACAATTGTTTAGACGGCAAAAAAATATTAACATTAAAAATCAGTGAATATTAGGCTGGACTCCTAATTGTGGGCTTTGTTTTTGTTTGCGCGTGCAGTACAACATTGTATTAAATACATTGATTATATTATGCGCGCGTGAAATAACTCAAAATTATTTATTTATTTTAAGTTATAGACTAATATCTATCATATGTTTAGTTATTTCGATTATTTACTATTCCATCCATTCCCCACAACCCCCCCCCCACACACCACTTCCTAACATCACACCCCACCCCACCACCACCTAAACTAAACCAAACAAAGATATTATAAGACATTTATTGCATTATAAAAACGAAACCCACAATAAGGAGATGAGCCGAATATTAATACTGTATATATATATATATATTTGTATAAAACACAACAGAAGTTACCAGTGCTCGACAATGTAATCCTAAATACATTACATATGAATTATAACCATCAGGTTAGGGAAAGTTAACAAATAAGATAAGAAAAATATTAATGAAAGGTTAGGATAGACGAGGAAAACAACTGTAAGAAAGAGATGGAGAGATGAATCAGATACCAGTGCTCTCTAAATCACTAACCATTTGTTATATTCAGATACATATATTTTTATGTTTTGATTATTAAAGTATAATTACGAGACAGAGAGAGAGAGAGGGAGGGAGAGAGAGAGAGAGAGAGAGAGAGAGAGAGAGAGAGAGAGATTAAAGTAGTTTCAAAAACCTACCAGTGCTGTGAGTACAGTATTCAGTTACCAATTTATTACAGAAAAAATCTATCAATTTACTTTTATTTTTTTAAAAAAAACATATACTTAACATCTACTAGTATTTTTGTTTTTAAAAAAAAATCATACCATTACTCCTAACCCATTACAAGTCGGCTAAAATGGCGCATACTTTTTCAATGGTTGGCCTGGCTCGTGGATCGATTGCAAGCATCTGTATTGTCAAACTATATAGTTTACGATACGGTTCTGGCATACCTATCGTCATCCGTTTGGCAAGAATTGGAGGACTGAGCCGACCTTTCTCGAAAACCATATGTCCGAGTATACTGTTAGCTACTGTGGCGCCCAATGCATAGATATCGACAGCACAAGTGTCAATCGGTTGAGGATCTGGTAGACGACAATTGATAAGCATTTCGTCCGGAATGAACTCTTTGGTACCGGCTTTGACGGCCGAAACCATTGGATCGCCTTTGTTGTTGTTGAAGCTGATAGTCATACCAAAATCGGTTAGTTTGTAGATCCATTGTTCGATGGGTAGTCCGGCCCGACTGATGTACAGTATGTTCTCAGGTTTGATATCCAAATGAACTGTACGCATGTCGACGTGCAGATACCGGAGCGCTGAGGCAATCTGTTTAAGCCAGGCCATAGTTTGCGGGTAAGTGAAGCAATAATTCGGTAATTGATCCGCAAGCAAACTGTACAAATCGCCATTACACAGATCCATCAGTGTCACCACAAATGCATAGGGAAAGCCAGTCTGCGAGTCGGGTATATTAATGATATCATGAAATTGGACAATGTTTTCATGTTTCAAATACCTGAGCGCATGCATGTCGGCCAACATGGTATCGACAATACCTTGGGAAGTGCCAGACAAACTGGGAGGACAGCTCATCACTTTGCAAGCCAGGCGTATCTTTTTCCACAGCAACGAATGTCTCGGACCGCTGTCCACTTTATGCTGGAACAGTGTCGGCGCTTCCCATCTGCTACCGGTTCGTCGTTCGGCTGTCACATCCCAAACGGCACCAAAACCTCCTTCTTGTAGTTTTTTGAAAAACTGTATATTACGCCACAGTTGTCCCGGTCTCTCTTGTTTCAGATACTCGAGCTGAGCATCCGGTAGAGCTTTTGGTTCGTTTAACTCATTCAATTGCGGCTGATTGTGCCGATCGGTGCCCATATCGTTCACTTCTGTCCATATTTCTGACCAATTGTCCACTGAAGGAAATCTAGAGGTTTGTGGTCGCACTCCATCAAGCGGTTGATAATAGTGTTCGGCTCCTTCAGGCAATATTGGTCGCATCACTATTGGCCGCATTGGGGCAAATGGTGTCGGCTGTCTCCCTGATGTCAGCCTTCGTGTAAAGTCTGGCAATCGGTACATAGGTTTTCGCGGATCCATTTCTACACCTATACTTTGTATGCTTTGTTTAACTGACTGGTTGTCCCTATTTGACTGTCTATTCTAAATCTGTATCTTATCTAACCTTTTGAGTTCTTACTGACCTTTTGTTTCTATTGTTTGAAATTGATTTGAACTTTGATTTTGTCAAACGTTTTGGTGTTTTTATGATTTTAATTTGAAAATATTTTAATTTTATTTGTTTTAAACAATTGTTTAGACGACAAAAAATTAACATTAAAAAATCAGTGAATATTAATACTGTATATACTATATTTGTATAAAACACAACAGTATTTGTAAAAAAAAATTACCAGTGCTCGACAATGTAATCCTAAATAAGCTTAAATCTATATTATAGACAGCCATAAAAAAGGTATTATTTTTTATGCAGTTATGCATATATAAAATGTTAGTTTTATTAATTAATTATTATTTAGTTAGGTTATTTTGGGTTGAGTGTGAGGTTAGATTAGGTTAAGTGGTTGGGTAGGTGGGTGGGTAGGTCGGTGGGGATGTGTTTTTGTGGCAAATAATTTTCAACTGGCTGTCTATAATATAGATTTGTTTCTTAACTACAATTACTACTTACTTGTACAGTGAACTGCATACTGGAAAACATTACTATTTATTTTTTTCTAACAATCATACCTACCATCCATCCATTCATTCATTCATTTATTACATCTCAGCCAACCTGTTGCATACCTGTTCAATGTTTGGCCGTTTTTGTGGATCCGAGTCGATCATTTGTAACGTCAAACTGATAAAATTCCTGGTTCTCGATCCATGTTTCTGTTCTTCCAGTCGACTGATAAGTTGCTGATAACTGTTTTCACCACTAGTGAAACGTTTGCCGAGCATACTATTGGCCACTGTTGATCCCAGTGCATAGATATCGCACAATGATGTATCAATCATCGATGGTACAAGATTAAACCAGTTATTGTACATTTCGACCGGATTGTAAGGCATAGTACCGGCTTTGACGGCCGACATCATCGGTTCATCTTTGTTGATGATGTTGTAACTGATAGACATACCGAAATCGCACAGTTTGTAGATCCATTGGTCGATGGGCTGTCCCTTACGACTATTATACAGTATGTTGTCTGGTTTAATGTCCAAATGAACTGTACGCTTATCAATGTGCAGATACCTAACGGCTGATGCAATCTGTAGAAGCCATGCAAACGTTTGCGAATCACTCAGACAACGATCTGGTCTCTGTTTTTTGAGCAAACTGGACAAACTGTCGGTGCATAGATCCATCAGTATCAACACAAACGCATAGGGAAAGCCTGTCTTCGAGTCGGGTATATTAATGATATCGTGAAACTGGACAATGTTTTCATGTTTCAAATACCTGAGCGCATGCATGTCGTCCAACATGGTTTTCACACTATCGTGCCAGTGACTTCCTCTTCTATACGGAGAGCTCATCACCTTACAGGCCAGTCGTATCCGTTTCCATTGCATCCATGGTCTCGGACCGCTGTCCACTACCCGCTGTAAGAGTGTCGGCTGTTGCCACTTGGTATCAGTTCGTCGTTCGGCTACCACATCCCAAACCGTACCGAAACTTCCTTTTTTTAGTTTTTTGAAAAACTGTATATTACGCCACAGTTCACCCGGTCTTTCCTGTTTCAGATACTCGAGCTGAGCATCCGGTAGTGCTTTTGATCTGAATGTGGAATTCAATTCTGGCAGAACATCATAATCGGTGCCCTTATCGTCGTCATCGGTCCATATTTCCGACCAATTGGCCGCTCCCTGTATCGGCCTATTTGGTTTCCACGTTACCTGACGTCGCAACCAACCTGAATCCGGATGATGACCCGGGGCTGTGCCAAACGGTTCGATACCTTCGGGTAAGTCCTGTCTTTGATTCTTAAAGAATCGTTGATATTCTGGATCCAATTGATTTGCCATTTGTTTTGTTGTTCTTTTAGCTGTAGTGTCCGACTAAGTTGTTCTCAAAATTTATTTAATTTACTTAAAATTAATTTAATTTTAATTTAAAAATTATAAAAAAAATAAATTATAAAAGCTAAATAAAAATAATTTTTATGAATAAATGCCATTTTAAATTAAAGTAGAATTTAAAAAAAAAATATTAATTCCTATTGAGAAACACATTTTATAAATAATTTTTTTATGTAGTTTTTTTTGTAACTTAATTTATCACAGTTTGTGAATTGGTATATAATTTCTAAAAAAAAATAAATATTTTTTTACATATTTTTGTTAGCATATATGTTTATAACAACTTATTATTATTATTATTACCTATTTTTATATATAAATCATATCTGTTATGCCTACAAACTATTATCATACCCATTACATGTACTACTACTGTACATTTCAGTCAACCTGTCGCATACTTGTTCAATAGTCGGCCTGTTTTGTGGATCAGTATCGAGCATCTGTATCGTCAAATTGTATAACAATAGCGACGATTTTGGCATACCTGAGATCATACGTTTGTGAAGCATTGGCGGACTAAGATTTCCGTCTACAAAATGTCCGTAACCGTGTCCGAGTATAGTGTTGGCCACTGAGGCGCCCAACGAATAGATATCGCACGCAGAAGTATCGATCGGTCGAGGAACTGATTGATGACAATTGGCATTCATTTCATCGGAATTGTAATCCTCGGTACCGGCTTTGATGGCGGAAATCATTGGATCGTCTACTGAGTTGTTGTAGCTGATGGCCATACCAAAATCGGTCAGTTTATAAATCCATTGATCAATAGGTTGTCCATCACGAATGACGTACAGTATGTTCTTGGGTTTGATATCCAGATGAACAGTACGCTTGTCGACGTGCAGATACCGAAGCGCTGAAGCAATCTGTCTTAGCCAGGCTATGGTTTGCGGGTCAGTAAAGCAAAAATCAGGTTTCTGGTCTTTGAGCAGTTTTAACAAATCGCCATTACATAGATCCATGAGTATCACTACAAACGAATAGGGAAATCCTGTCTGTGAGTCGGGTATACCAATGATATCGTGAAATTGTACAATGTTTTCATGTTTTAAATACCTGAGCGCATGCATGTCGGCCAACATGACTTCCACAATACGATGCCAATGGCCAGCAAATCTGGATGGACAGCTCATCACTTTACAAGCAAGGCGTATCTTTTTCCATTTCATCCACGGTTTCTGACCGCTGTCCACTACATGTTCTAACAGTGTCGGCGGTTCCCATTTGCTACCAGTTCGTCGTTCGACCACTACATCCCAAACTGTACCGAAACTACCTTCGTCTAGACATTTGAAAAACTGTATATTACGCCACAGTTGGCCCGGTCTCTCCTGTTTCAGATACTCGAGCTGAGCATCGGGTAGTGCTTTTGGCAAGTATGACACCGTGAATTGCGGCTGATTGAATCGATCGGTGCCCCAATCGTTGACATCGGTCCATATTTCTGACCAATTGGCCGCTGACGCTGGATTCGGTAATGTAGAAGAGTGTGGTCGCACTCCGTCAGGCGGTCGATAGTAGTATTCGGACTCTTCGGATAATATTGGCGGTATGACTATTGGCCGCATTGGGGCAAATGGTGTCGGCTGTCTCTCTGATACCGGTCTTCGTGTAAAGTCTGGCAATCGGTACATAGGTTTTCGCGGATCCATTTCTACACCTGTACTTTGTATGCTCTGTTTAACTAATTGGTTGTTCCTATTTGACTGTCTATTCCTAACTTTCCTAACTCTTTATCTTATCTAATCTGATCTAAGTTCTGACTGATTTCAATTGATTTTGTCAGACGTTTTTGGTGTGTTTTTTCTGATTTTAATTGAAAATATTTTAATTTTAATTGTTATTCAATATAAATTGTTTAAACGGCAAAAAAAATATTGAATTAAAAAACAACGAATATTATTAATACTGTGTGTTTGCTGTAGGTTTGGTGTGGATAGTCAGTCATAATATTGTAAAGTTATGTAAAATATTACTGTATATTATTAATAGTATTTTACTTAATCTGAATATTTCGGTGAATTTCATGTTTTTTTTTAATAAATACACTACAGTACTACTAATATATTAAATAATTAATTAACTGTAGTGATAAACTAAATTGATAAAATAACATATATTTTAAAAACATATATTTTATATATTATATGTGTTGAAAGTTTGGATGGTTTACTATGTTTTAATGCATTGATTTTACTATTAGCGCATGAAATGAAATAAACTTATTTAATTAAAAAAACAAATAGTAATATAAATACATTAAAACATAGTAAACCATCCAAACTTTCAACACATCCTAACCTCACTCCATCCCATACCATCACCACTTCCTAAACTCACACACCCCACCCAACCTAACCCCAAACTAACCCAAATAAAAAGGTATTATCAATATAATAGTATAGCATATAAAACCAATATTAAAAGCGAAGCCCCCTAAGGTAACTAAAGCCAATATTTTTTTATGTTTAAATTGGTTTGAATTGGTATCTAATTTCTAAAAATGTATTTCTAATTTACTTACTTTATTTTTTTTAGTATACATGTATAACTACTGATTACCTATTTTTAAAAAAAATCATATCTGTTATGCAAACAAACTATTTTGCCATACAAACTGTACATGTACTACATATCAGCTAACCTATCGCATAGTTGTTCAATAGTTGGCCTCTTTTGTGGATCAGCATTGAGCATCTGTATCGTCAAATTGATCAGTTTCCACGACAACGATCCCGGTTGATTTGTGGCCATCCGATTGACTAGTTCTTGAGGACTGAGTTTTCCGTTTATATAATGCAATTGTCCGATTATACTGTTGGCTACTGTGGCGCCCAACGAATAGATATCGCAGGCAGTAGTATCGATCGGTTGAGGAACTGGTTGTTTGCAATTGGCATTCATTTCGTCCGAATTATAATCTTTGGTACCGGCTTTGACGGCCGACACCATTGGATCGCCTTTGTTGTTGTTGTAGCTGATGGCCGTACCAAAATCGGTCAGTTTATAGATCCATTGATCGATGGGTAGTCCGGCCCGACTAACGTACAGTATGTTCTCAGGTTTGATATCCAAATGAACTGTACGCATGTCGACGTGCAGATACCGGAGCGCTGAGGCAATCTGTCTTAGCCAAGCCATGGTTTGCTGGTCAGTGAAACAACAATTTGGTGTCTGCTGTTCGAGTAGACTAAACAAATCGCCATCACACAAATCCATTAGTATCACTATAAAAGCATAGGGAAATCCTGTCTGTGAGTCGGGTATACCAATGATATCGTGAAATTGGACAATGTTTTCATGTTTCAAATACCTGAGCGCAAACATGTCGGCTAACATTATATTCACAATACTGTGCCAATGGCCAGCCCAACTCCTAGGATAGTTCATCACTTTACAAGCAAGGCGTATCTTTTTCCATTTCATCCACGGTCTCCGACCGCTGTCCACTACATGCTCTAACAATGTCGGCGCTTCCCATCTGCTACCGGTTCGTCGTTCGGCTACCACATCCCAAACCGAACCGAAACTTCCTTCTTCTAGTTTTTTGAAAAACTGTATATTACGCCACAGTTCGCCCGGTCTCTCCTGTTTCAGATACTCGAGCTGATCATCCGGTAGGGCTTTTGGTTTTCTTAACGCATTCAATTGCGGCGGATTGAATAGATCGGTACCCATATCGTCCTCATCGGTCCATATTTCTGACCAATTGGCCGCTCCCTGTACCTGTCTTTTTGGTTTCCACGGTAACCATCCTGAATCCTGTTGATGACTTTGGTCTGTGCCAAACGGATTGGTCCCTTCGGGTATGTTTTGTCTTTGGTTTTTCAAAAATCGTTGATATTCTGGATCTAATGGATTTCCCATTTGTTTTGTTGTTCTTGTAGTTGCAATGTCTGACTAATTTTTTAAAATTCTTAACTTTTCATTTACTCTTTAATAAAAAAATAACTCATAATTTTTTTTTAAAATTAAAATTATTTAAACAATTGTTATTTTAGAAAAAAATAAAAAAAAGTTAAACAAAAGTCAAATTTTTTGCTGGTTGTCTATATTATAGATTTAATACAGATATTAGGACTTAAGGAACAAATCTATATTATAGACAGCCAGTAGAAATTTATTTGACCCAAACCCACCCCCACCCATCCAATTACTTCCTAACCTCACACCCACCCCAAACTAACCTAACTAAATGATAATTAAGTAATAAAACTAACATTTTATATATGTATAACTGCATAAAAACAATACTTTTTTGCTGGCTGTCTATAATATAGATTTAAGCCATAAAATGTTAGTTTTATTACTTAATTATTATTTAGTTAGGGTTAGTTTGGGGTGAGTGTGAGGTTAGGAAGTGGTTGGTTGGGTGGATGGGGATGGGTTCATGGCAAATAATTTTCTAATTGCTGTCTATAATCTACTTTTGTTCCATTGGATCATAGAAGAATACCACCATCAATGGATTAATATTAATAATAATAAATAGATAACAAAATGATTTTTTTTTGTTATTGAAGACAATCTGACAAATACCAGTTACGATTGAAATTAATTAATTAATTAGAAAAATTTAATTAAAAAGTATAAACACTATAATATAACAGTTTTCTCAGGTAAATAAATATAGTAAGACAAAACAAAAACAACAACAAAATATAATGACTAATAAAAGTTTTATTACAAAAATTATTGTTGTCATTGAATATATTATAGTTATTTTTGTAAAGTTTTATAATTTTTTTTTGCACGTTTATAGATGTCTACTACTATTATACAACAAAATAATCATTTATTTACAAAACATACAAAACAAAAAACTTTGAAATATAAAAAAGCAAAAAACCATTAATTTTTTATGTATTTATTTATTTATTAGTTATATAAAATAATTTCCTTTAATAAACAACAAACATATTATATACAGTAAACTACAGTTTTTTCCACATTACAGTATATTTTGAATAAAAAGATTTTTTTAAAATGTTAATTCAAAATATTTGTTGTTTGTTTCTATGAAATCAATTAATTGGTTAAAATGTTTGGTTGTTTGTCACGCAAACGGTATTTTTTGCAGACAAGAGCTCCGCCGTCGAGTGGCACAAGACTTCCGGTGACAAACGGTGCCCAACTGTCTGAGGCCAAGAACTCGATGGCTTTGTTGATGTCGTCAACCAATCCGGGCCTTTGTAACGGATATGTCATTTGGCAAAACATTTTCATATCGTCCTGAGTGATGGCAAACTGTTTAATTGTATCAATTAGTGGTGTCAATACAATACCAGGACTGTGGGGGTGGGGGGTGGGTGGTGTAGACAATTGTGACAGTTAATTAGTTAATTAATAATAATTTAGTAAAAATGAAATAAAAAAAACATTTACAGAATAGCATTGACACGAATGCCTTTCGGACCCAATTCCATGGCCAGACATTTGGTGAACATATTGAGACCGCATTTGGATATACCGTACGGACTCCATGTTTTTGCCTTTAATGTTTAATTTTTAATAATTTGTTTAATAATAAATGTTGTAATTAATTGAATAACATATTAATCAATAAATACCGGAATCATTGATGAAATACTCGATATATTAACAATACAGCCTTTGGTCTGTTCGAGATAGGGAATCACCAATGATGTCAATAACACGGCTGACCTTAAATTAGTATTGACTATACCATCAAATAGTTTCATATATTTCAGATCTTTGTTGTTTTCGTCGTCACCGATGTACCCGTGATCTACAATTCCCGCACAGTTAACCAAAATGTTGATTTTACCGAAATGGGCAACAGTTTTGTCGACCAAATGCCGAATCTGACGGTCGTCCAGAACATCGACTACAACTTCGAGAGTTTGTTTGCCAGTGTGTTGTTGTTGTTGTTGTCGGCACTCCTGTGCCACTAATTTGACTTTAGATGAGTCGCGTCCGGTGACCACAACATTGGCTCCCAATTTTGCAAAATAAACGGCAGCTCCGGCACCAATTCCCGAGCTTGAACCTGGATTAAAATATAGATTAATTAATTATTATTTATTGGACATTATTGTTTAATTTTCATTACCTGAAATTAACATTACTTTATCGTTAAAATCATTTTCCGTATTGATATTATTTGAATTCATTTTTTTTTTTGGAAAAAAAACTGTAAGTACTGTCAAAAAAGTTTGTCTGAAAATATAAAGTTTTTATGAAAGTATAAATAATTATTTTTATTAATGTAACCAATATTTTTATATACCATTTTTTAATAAATAAATATTTAATTATTAGTGTGTTTTCCACTTTTGTTTGTTTGTTATTGTTATTTTTATTACATCATATCAAGTATTTAATATTACATTATGTAAATTTATTAATTTTATATAATCATAAATAATAGTCTATTAAAACTATTGAAAGTCTATTTTAAAATAATGTTGTTGTTGTTGAAGTTATTACTCTTAAGGAAAGAGAGAGAGAGAGAGAGAGAGAGAGAGAGAGAGAGAGAGAGAGAGAGAGAGAGAGAGAGAGAGAGAGAGAGAGAGTTATAAATTTTTGTAGTTATAAAGTGTTAGAGAATTTTTGAATTTAGAATATTTTATGTTATAAAATACTACAAAAAATTCTCTGATTATATCAATTAATTAAAATGATATAATAATTAAAATTACTGTATATTTAATATAAAAATTTGATATAAATAACATTTGATTGAATTCATAGAAGAAAAAATTGATTGATTGCAACGTTCAGTTCGCTATTTCAACAATTAATTATTTATCTGACAATAAATATAACCACAAAAAATATGTTAATTGTCTATCAATTTAGAAGATTATAACTAAATATCCTTTTTTTACGATAACTTATCTTTCAATTGTTGCAACTCTTTGTGTGCCAACTCATCCATTATGTTATTTGTAGGCAAATTGAGTCCTTTGTTAACCCATTGTCTGGCAGTTGTCTTTTTTCTTAGTCTACGATAAGTTTTGGCAATCCATAGATAGTTGTCCTTCCAGTTTGGTTTGGATTTGTCGCTATCGAAAAACTTTTGCAACGCCTCCTGATAGGTGGCCTCCGGTATCGGACCGTACAGAGCGCGGGCAATGTTACGCTCGATCCACGACAAAGCGGCCAACTCGTAGGCAAACCGGCCGGCCATGAAGTGCAACATGTGATCGTTTGGGTCCAGCTTATAGGCTAAGTCCAGGTGCTGTTTGAATTTGTGGCCGTATCTGATCTTATCCTTGACACCGACCAATTTGGTTGCCCGTCCCAGTGCTATGCAATACCATTTGTGACTGTCCAGCGATTTTGGGTCCGCCTTAACCGATCGTTTTCCATATTCCAGTGCCTCGAAAGCCAACTGTCTTTGTTGATTGGTTTCGATATCGCTTGAAATACTGAGCAAAAGAGACACTTTGTTCAGTCGCCACAACACTTCGCTATTGTTTTTGTTTGTCTCATTGTTGGTCAGTTCAGCCTTCATGTCGTCATACAGTTTACGTTTACCGTCCAAATCGGTCGCATCTGTGTTTATCGTACGGTCCCATTCCTCGAAGTTTACTGTCATTACTGTAAATAGATTGGTTATGGTTAAGGCACCGGTATGTGGCTATCACACTACAGGCTATAGATGTTCGGCCCGTATATATCACTGAATGTGATGGTGACCTAACACTGTCGGTCTCGTATGTGTGCTCTAGTGTCCGACAATCTAAATAAAATTATTGTTGAAAAATAAAACTTTATCATAAATTTAAAAGTTTTTATTTTATTTAACATTAAAACATCAACAGAGAGGACCATTTGTAGGTTAAAAAGTGAAAATTATTTTTTCGTAACAAGGAATGGGATCAACAAAACAGTTGTGCTGTTGTCTATGCCGGACACCATTTGATGGACCAGTTATCGGCAATAATAATGTGGCCAAACTAGGTGTTAGCGGTGAAAAGCGACAACAATTGGCACACAAACAATGTCTCGTCGATTATCTTCAACACAGTACAGCCGGTATATGTAATGGCATCGGAAGACAGCACTTCCGCATAGTATCAGTTAATCAGAAAAAGACATTCTTCGGCTATCTTTGCAAAAGTAACATCTTTTGGACAATTTTAAGTCTGTTGTCAACCGTACTGACCATTATATGGAGTATCAGAGACGCGCGCCGACAGTTGCTGTTGTTGTTGAATACCTGTCAAATAAGACACGATTTGCTGGCCGTACGTTTCCGGCAAATCGATACCTATTGTCATGTATGGGAAACGGCAATCAAATTGATGCCATTATTGACTATAGTGTTAGCCATCAATACGTTGAGAAACTTTTGGCTTACATTTCAAGAATGGAAACACCAGTGTTTGGTCATTGAATACAAACATAAATAAAAAAAAATGTTTTGTTTTTTTTTGTTTAGTTAATTACTAATAAGTTAATCACAAATTAGTAATTTATGATTAAACAAAATATAAGACAACCTAAAAAAATAAATGAAATTAAGCCCAGATTTTATACGATAAAAATGAATACCAGTATAATAATCATCGCGCGGTACACACACACACACACACACACACATACATACCTACACACACACACACTCACACATATGTATGTAAACGGGTTAACCAACAAACGGTCGGGCGCACTTCGGGTCATACTTTTATGGTACTCTTTAGTAGTTTATTTTTAAAAATATATATTTAAAAAATAAAAATTTCAAAATATAACAATGTTTTTTAAAAAAATAAAAATAAAATCATAGTCAAAAACAACAGTAGCCAGCAGTAGCACAAGTATGGCAATTGGACCGGTCAATTGGGATAAAGTGTTTACTGACCAGAGCAAGGTTGGTCTGGAACATTATAGACGTATACCATATGGACAGCCATTACTGGACGATCATCTCAGGTATGTGAAAGATGAAGGACATAGCGACCAATGGCAGAACATAGAGTTTGTACGTCAATTGGGATCCGGCAGTTTTGGTACCGTATGGGAAGTGACTACACGACAAAAACTGAAAAAGGATGGTCTGAGAAAAATCATGTTTTGGCAGAAATGGGAAAACTTGCGACTGGCCTGCAAAGTGATGACATACTTTTATAACGGTAGAGGTAATATCAGATCCTGTGTGAATATACTGTTGGCAGACATGCAGAGGCTACAGTTTCTCAAACACGACAACATTGTAAAGTATGTCGACTTTATAGGTATACCCGATCCGCTAACTGGATTTCCCTATTCACGGGTATTGATGCTCATGGAGTTGTGTAACGGCGATATCAACAGTTTCATCCGCAGCACAAACTATATGAGTGAAAAGGAAATAGTCAAATGGCTCCGACATATTGCCAAAGCACTTGTCTATCTGCACAATGATAATCGTATGGTTCATCTGGATATCAAACCGCTTAACATTTTGTACAAAAATCGTTTCGGTGGTAAACGGATCTACAAGTTGGGCGACTTTGGATTGGCTATTGCCTACGAACCGGGCCAACCAATGGAAGAGACCAACTTTCCGGGCGGTACAACTGCTTACGTTGCACCCGAATTTTTTCCCGCTCCTGGTCAACGGCACGGTCCGATTGGTCAACTTGGAAAAACAGTAACCACTCCACCGTGCGATATCTATTCAGCAGGTGCCACCGTTGTCAATTGTCTAATAGGTAATACATTCTATCGGGGTAGAAATGCTCGTAACCAACTTCACCAGTTAGCCAGTTCAGTTAGCCCGGAGTTCAGACAGTTGATTGATGAGATGTTAGCCGTAGATCCGCAACAGCGTCCCGACGCCCAAACACTGCTCCACCGAATCAGACAACTATAGAAACAGACAAAACAAACCCCAATAACAACAACAACAAAATAAAAGGTATATATAAAAAGTTTTTAATTTGTAAAAATAAAATGTATTGGTTTTTTTAGATTTGATTTTCATTATATAGTACTAAATATCAATATATCAGTCTATATCAGTAATAGTGATAAATTGATACACAACTACAACAACGGGTTGATGTCAACATACTTATGATGTACTTTCGGCTATCAATATATGTTTGAAACCTCTTATTGGTATGTATACTCTATAATCGCTTATTTTTTTAATATAGAAAAATTACAAATTTTAATTATTTTTTAAGAAAAAAAAACATTATTATCTATTAATTTAAAATTGATAAAAAATTATTTACAACTTTACTTCAAGACAGACAACACTAGCACTAGTAGGTGACAACCAAAAATGACACATGAGGTAAGTCCGGCATATCTAAAATATCTAGAATCTGAACGAAATAGTAGTCGATGGTGGCAGTTCTGGAAACCGGGTCCACCGACTAATCCATTTGGTACCGGAAAGGGTTTCAAATTTGAAGACATGTATGACGAGCTCGACGACAACGACTTTCGGCGAAACACCGGACCGTTTCAATTTGAGTACGACTTACCAATACAGGGACCGCCCAATTGGGATCAATTGTGGCCCGACCAGTCAATGGTTGGCACAGATTACCAGCTGGCGAATGCAAAGGGACTGCCGTTACCCGATCAACAGCTCAGGTATGTTAAAGGCCAGACTCCGGACAATCTGTGGCGTAATATTCAGTTTGTTAGCGAACTAGGATCTGGCGGTTATGGTTCAGTTTGGGAGATAACGGCACTAAAAAATACTGCCCGCAGAGACGGATATTTTAAATGGAGGAATGTTAGGTTGGCCTGCAAAGTGATGCGCTTTACTTCAGGCAGTACTTCTAATTTTCTAAACAGAGTAAAGTCAATGTTGATCGATATGAATCGGCTCCGGCATCTGCGACATAACAACATTGTCCAATTCATTGACATTATAGGTATACCCGATTCGCTGACAGGCTTTCCCTATTCGAGTATATTGATAATGATGGACAAATGCGACGGCGATCTCAACAGTCTTATAGTCAGCCGAGCTATGTCTCAGCAACAAACCATTGCATGGCTCCGACAGATTGCCGAAGCACTACGCTATCTACATGTCGATAAGCGTACGGTTCATTTGGATATCAAACCGGCTAACATACTGTACCAAACTAATGGTGGTCAACCGGTTAATAAATGGCGATACAAATTGGCCGATTTTGGACTGGCCATTGCCTATAAAGAAAATTCCAGTATGAAGTCGAAAGTCAATCGGGGTAGTTTAGTCTACAAAGCACCCGAAATGTCAGATCCACCGATAGCAGTGTACACCCCTTTGTGCGATGTCTATTCACTGGGTGCTACTGTGGCGTGTTGTCTACTCAGTCGACAACAGTATCATCAGATATCATTTCGCCAACAATTAGCACAGTTGCACATCAATCAGCCCAATATGCCGGCCATAACGTCCGTACTCTACAATTTGGTCATCGATATGACCCAAGTGTTTGTCCGGCAGAGAGTAACCATCCAAGAGGTTTGTGACAGAGCGGCACAATTGTAACGACTGTTTTCGCTTATACAGGTATAGTAGTGTATATATTGTGTATATATACCGTATATAGTATAGAATTGAGACATTAGTTAAAACTAATGATAAAATTATTTTTTTTGTTTAAATAATATAATAATATTTTTAATCGCAATTTTTTTTAAATGATTATTTATTGATAATTATAATTATTATTTAGATTTTATTGATTAATAGAAAAAACATTAATCACTGTTTTCAATATCTAAATTTACTGTTATATATTATAATTAGAGTAAAGCCAATACAATACAATAAAATTATTAGTTTGAACTATAATATTAAAAATACGAATATCGTTTAAAAATAATTTAATATAACTAACAATGTATTTTATAATTTTTATTAAAAAAACTCATTGTTAATAAATACAAAAAAGATACAAATAATAAAATTTTAAACAATTATTTAAATTAATACTTATTTTTTAAAAACTATAATATTCAACAAAAAAAAAATAATAAATTCATAGAAACAGACAGACAGACTAATTACAGGACTAGTAAGTAACAGATAATAGACAGACACTAACAAACAAACAAACAAAAAGATGACATATCAGGTAAATAAGATATATTTGCAAAATCTAGAGTCTGAACGACAGGGTCGTAGAGTTCCACCATTGCCGCCAAATGTACATCCGTTTGGCAGCGGAATGGGTTTCAAATTTGAGGACATGTATCACCGGATCAATAAAAACAGCCCCTATCGGCGCCGGTACGGACCGTTTAACGAGTACTGCTTGCCTGTACAGGGACCACCCAATTGGCATCAATTATATGTCGACGAAAGTAAGATTGGCCAGGATTACCAGCTGGCGAATGCAAAGGGACTGCCGTTACCCGATCAACAGCTCAGGTATGTTAAAGGCCAGACTCCGGACAATCTGTGGCGTAATATTAAGTTTGTTCGCGAACTAGGATCTGGCGGTTTTGGTTCAGTTTGGGAAATAACGGCAAAACAAAATAAGGCCCCCAGAGCTGGATATTTTAAATGGAGGAATGTTAGGTTGGCCTGCAAAGTGATGCGCTATACTTCAGGCAGTAGTTCTTTTCGACGCAGAGTAGAGGCAATGTTGACAGATATGAATCAGCTCCGGTATCTACGACACAACAACATTGTCCAATTCATTGACATTATAGGTATACCCGATTCGCAAACAGGTTTTCCCTATTCGAGTATATTGATAATGATGGACAAATGTGACGGCGATCTCAACAGTCTTATAGTCAGCCGAGCTATGTCTCAGCAACAGACCATTGCATGGCTCCGACAGATTGCCGAAGCAGTTCGTTATCTGCACTTCGATGAGATAATGGTTCATTTGGATATCAAACCGGCTAACATACTGTACCAAACTAATGGCGGTAAACCTGTTAATCAATGGCAGTACAAATTGGCCGACTTTGGACTGGCCATTGTCTATATGGACAAATTAGATATGCATTCGAAAGTCAATCGCGGCAGTCCACTCTACAAACCGCCCGAAATGTCAATACCACCTAAAGAAGTTTACACCCCTTTGTGCGATGTCTATTCACTGGGCGCTACTGTGGCCAGTTGTCTACTCGGCCGACCCTATTATAATGGAATAACATTTCGCCAGGAACTACCACAGTTGCACATCAATCAGCCCAATATGCCGGCCATACCGTCAGAACTCTTGAATTTGGTTAACGATATGACCCAAATGTTTGTCTGGCAGAGAGCAACCATCCATGATGTGTGTGCTAGAGTACAACAATTGTAACGACAGTTACAATTTAGATTATATATAAAGTTTATTTTATAGACATTCACTATAAGTAAAGTACATGTAGATGTATACTGTAGTTAAAGTGCTGAATTTGAACATTAGCTATGATTGTGTAATATAGATATTTAAAAAGATATTGTAGTTAAAGTGTAATATAAAAGCATTAAACATCTTTATAATTTGGGGGGTGTGGATGGGGTAGGATGTGGGAGGTTAGGAAGTGATGGTGGGGTGCATGGGGGTTAGATAGTAGTGTGTTAGTTAGGGGTGGTGTGGAATCATATTGTGATTGATATTTTTTTATACATCTAAAGTGAATCAATCGACTGATTTCAAGTGCTTGTAATATTAGTAATACTTTTAATACATTGTTGTAATTTTAATTTAAAAAAATTTTTTCGTCTAAACAATTATTAATAACAATTAAAATTAAACAAAATTTTCAACAAAAATCACAAAATATAAAAAACGTCTGACAAAATCAAATCTATTTCAAGCAAAAGAAACAAAAGGTATGTCAGATTTTAAAGGTTAGATAAGATACAGATTTAGGGATAGACAGTCAAATAGGGACAACCAATCAGTTAAACAAAGCGGACAAAGTACAGGTATAGAAATGGATCCGCGAAAACCTATGTACCGATTGCCAGACTTTAGACGAAGGCTGACATCAGGGAGACAGCCGACACCATTTGCCCCAATGCGGCCAATAGTCATACGGCCAATATTGCCCAAAGGAGCCGCATATTACTATCGACCGCTGGGCGGAGTGAGACCACAATCCTCTAGATTGCCGACTCCAACACTTCGGAGGACACAATCGCTGCCAACTGGGTTGTCCAGAATGGGTAGTGACGAACCACTCAATTCAAGATTGCCTTCACCTCCTGGTTCGCCAATACGACGATATATTTCGACGCCAATAAAGCCAGAGCCGCGAAGATCACTGAGACCTCTAACATTTATGGAGCCGAGAGTCGACTATGACAGCGAAAGTACCTCTGATGACGAAAATGATAACAGATCATTGATTGGTCGCCCGGTTTCTCCAAAACAAGAGTGGGGATCAAACAACAACTGGTCGCCAACGCCTCCTCAATCGCCACGACGATCACCGCCAACACTACCAGCGAACAGACAAGGACCTTCCTGGCCACCAGAGCCAGGGTCGCGAAGATCACTGAGACCTCTAACATTTATGGAGCCGAGAGTCGACTATGACAGCGAAAGTACGTCTGAAGAAGAAGACAACAACAATCGGAAGCCATTGCCACCCAATTCTTTTAAGTTCAGCAGCAGTAGTGGCAGCAATAGTGGAAGAAGTCTGTATCCATCGTCCAGTCCATCGTCGCTAAGTTCAGGGCCTTCATTTTCTGGATTATTCCCGCCAACGCCTCCCAGAACGCCTCCCACTACGACGAGAAGTCGATCGAGATTCAGTCCCAATACATCTATTCAACGCATCGAACCGATACCAGATATGACGTCTTTCGATCGGATCAATCAGTTTGAATCATCGGATCGCCGATCATATCCAATGTCAGACGCATTGCCGCGAGACCGGGGTTACTATGCTGGCCGTGAGTTCGAATCGACTGAATCGCGTAGGTCTCCGTTTTCCAGGTCCAGTGCCGACGCCAGTGGTCAGTCGTCGGGAAGTTCCAGAGCTGGTGGTTTCAGAAACACTTTCCGGCGCATAGGTTCGGCTATTAGAACTCCGTTTAGACGAAGACGTCGTACATATGATATCAACAGCGATAGTCAACAACAACAGCAACAACAACACGAAAGAATGAGTTATCTGAATGAAGAAGAAGAAGAAGGATCACCAAAAGGTAATGTTCCGTTGTGTGGATGCGGACACACATACAATGATTGTAAATGTAGACTCATCTGAAGTATAATCAGTCAGTCATGTATGTATCTGTCTGTGTGTGTGTGTGTGTGTATGTGTGTGTGGACAATGTATATACTGTATCTACCGGTGCGTATCGTCAAAAATATGATTATCAATATTATTATTATTATTTGAATAATATTCATACTTTCAAGTATTCAAAGTAATAAATATTTTAATTGTTGATGACTGAGATGTAAATTAAGTAAATGGTAGGTATGATTGTAAAAATTTGTATGTTTTCTACAGTAGTATGCAATTAAATATACACTAAAGTAAGTGGTAGTTGTAGTTACATAGGCTCTACCATAAGCCTAAAAATCAATTTTAGAAATCAATTAGATATCAATTAAATCTATGATAATTTGTTTGAAATATATATATATATTGATTTTTTAAATATAAAAATGGCAAAATTTTTTATTTTTTCTATTAGTTTAGTTCATCAGTAAGTTTAGACAGACTGAGATCAGGACTTTTTTTCCAACCGCTATGACTACAGTTGTACCCAAAAGACTCGGATGGCGATGGCGTCCTATCTATGGTTAGACTGTTTGCTCGATCCTCGGGTTTTGATAAATATCATAACAATTAAAATTAAAATATTTTCAATTAAAATCACAAAACACAAAAACGTCTGACAAAATCAAAGGTCAAATCAATTTCAAACAAAAAAAAAAGTTTAGACAGAAGTCGAAAGATTAGATAACATACAGATTTAGGAATAGACAGTCAAATAGGGACAACCAATCAGTTAAACAAAGAGGACAAAGTACAGGTGTAGAAATGGATCCGCGAAAACCTATGTACCGATTGCCAGACTTTACACGAAGACCGGCATCAGAGAGACAGCCGACACCATTTGCTCCAATGCGGCCAATAGTGATGCGACCAATATTGCCTGAAGGAGCCGAACACTATTTTCGACCGCCGACGACCCGCGGAATGCGACCGCTGGGCGAAGTGAGACAACAATCCTCTAGATTGCCGACTCCAACGCTTCGGAGGACACAATCGTTGCCAACTGGGTTGTCCAGAATGGGTAGTGACGAACCATTCAGTTCAGATTGGCCTTCACCTCCTGGATCGCCAACGCCTCCGCATTCGCCACGACGATCACCAACAGGTTCACCAACACGACGATTTATTTCCACGCCATTCAAGCCATCAGAGTCAGCGCCGCGAAGAGCACTGAGACCTCTAACATTTATGGAGCAGCCAATCGACAGCGAAAGTACGTCTGAAGACGAAGACAATAACAAATCATTGATTGGTCGCCCGGTTTCTCCAAAACGCAGTTCAAGTAGTTCTAGTTTTGATGTAGAATTGGGATCAATCGACAATAGGGCGCCATCGCCAAGTTGGTCTTCACCGTCCGGATCACGACAAGCGTCGCCACAACGATCATCTTCCAGATCACCACCACGTGATGCGCCACAACAATCTCATTCGGAGCCAACACAGCCAACGAGGCGAAGACCACTGAGACCTCTGACATTTATGGAACCGAGACTCGATTTGGACAGCGAAAGTACGTCTGAAGACGAAGACAATAACAGCTCATTGATTGGTCGCCCGGTTCCTCCAAAATACAGTTCGAGCAGTTCTAGTATAGATGAAAAGAGGGAATCATTCAGAAATAGTACGCCATCGCCACCCGATTCTTTAAACTACATCAGCAGTAGTAGTGAAGGGAGTCTGACTCCATCGTCGTCGTTGACATCCTTGACTTCCCGGTCATCATATTCGCCATCAAATTCTTTTGGGTCGTACAACAGCAGCAGTAGTGGCAGAAGTCTGACTCCATCGTCCAACTCATCGTCGTTGACATCAGTGACTTCTCTCTCTGGATTATCATCAATACGGTCAACGCCCACTACGTCGAGAAGTCGATCGAGAATCAGTTCCAACACATCTATTCAACGCATCGAACCGATACCAGATATGTCATCTTTTGATCGGATCAATCAGTTTGAATCATCGAATCGCCGATCCTATCCAATGCCAGACGCATTGCCGCGAGACCGGGGTTACTATGCTGGTCGTCAGTTTGAATCGACTGAATCGCGTCAATCGCCGTTTTCCCCAAGTGGTCAGTCGTCGAGAAGTTCCAGAGCTGGTGGTTTCAGAAACACTTTACGACGCTTTGGTTCGGCTATTAGAACTCCGTTTAGACGAAGACGTGGTACATATGATATCAACAGTGATAGTCAACAACAACAGAAAAGAATGAGTTATCTGAATGAAGAAGAAGAAGAAGGATCACCAAAAGGTAATGTTCCGTTGTGTGGATGCGGACACACATACAATGATTGTAAATGCAGACTCATCTGAAGTATCTAATCAGTCAGTCATGTATGTATGTGTGTGTGTGTGTGTGTGGACAATGTATATATATACTGTATATACCGGTGCGTATCGTCAAAAATATCAATATTATTATTATTATTTGAATAATATTCATACTTTCAAGTATTCAAAGTATTAAATGTATTAAATTGTTGTCTGAAATGTAAATTAAGTTAATGGTAGGTATGATTGTAAAAATTTGTATGTTTTCTACTATGCAATTAAATATACAGTACAAGTAAGTAGTAGTTGTAGTTACATAGCCTCTACCATAAGCCAAGTAACCCTTAAAATCAATTTTAGAAACCAATTAGATATCAATTAAATCTGTGATAATTTTGTTTGAAATACAGTATATATTTTTTTATAAAAAAAATGGCAAAAATATTAATTTTTTCTTTTAGTTTAGTTTATCAGTAAGTTTAGGCTTAAATTTAATATAGTATTAGATTAGTAGAACTGATATGAATTTTATTACAATTAATAAAATTAAGTACTGTATATATATATATATATATACAGTACAGTAGATATAAATTATCATCTACTGAATCATATTTTCTGATGATAAGCACCGGTATGTTTCTATACATTTGCCAGACACGCATACATGACTACATGATTACATCATCACTCGATACCACAACTGCATAAACAAGGTGTTAGTCGACACCTACACACAAGTTCTCTGCCTTTTGATGATCTTTGTTGTTGTTGTTGAGTTTGTCCACTCGTTGACGAAAACTGTGTTCCCAGCGATGACGGCGGTGGCGATGGTGTCCGCGAATGAGACCCATTTGGTGATTCTTCTTGTATTTCATTCAACGATTTCATTGATATGTTTTCACTAGATATTTGACCATTTCGGCTCGCGCTGCTGCCACCACCGAGGTCGGCACCGCGTCTACGATTACGACTGAAGAATCGTTTGGTCCGCGTACCGAAACGTGAGAGACGTTTACCTAAACTTTTGCGACCGCTGCTAGCCTCTGTATCACTACTGGGCATCGGGAACGGCGCCCGACGAAAGGCTGTTGGTTCGCGCTCGCGATATACACTCTCTTCGGCATCTTTCGGAGCCCAATAAGTATGAAGACCTGACGTTTCAAATCTGTCTATTCGATCGGATGTGGGATCAGTCCAAAAGGGATCTTCTGTGGCCACAGCGTCTGGAAGACGATTTGGTGGATTAGCAGGATTATACTGAAAAGCTCGTTTGCGTGTTTTTTTGCCTACTTTGTCCCACACATCCCATCCCCGCCAACCGCCCCAATATGGATCGCCAGGTATATGTGTGACCTGTCGATGTTCAAGTTGTCCACGACCATGTCCTCTAAACTCTGGCAGATCGGGATCGTATACAAGTTTTGGCGGTTCCCAGAATTCTGTCCGTTTTGGTGTTAAAGATTGAGAAGAAGATCCACCAATCGATGATTTTTTGTCATCTTCTAGAATCCAGGATTCGTCGTCAAAATTCATTATCGGCTCCATAGGTGGTCCCGGCGATGCTCGTGACGGCATTGGTGGTGATCCGGGTGGTGTTCGTGGCTGTTGTGGTGGTCCCACTGATCGTCTTGGTATTAATGGTGGTGTTGGATGTAGAGAAAGCATTCGTTTACCGCGCCATAGTGTTGTGCCTTCATCTGAACTCAAGGATTCTCTATCAATATTATCAGCAATTATTTTCGGCTCCATTGGTTGACTATGTGATAGTCGTGACGAAAGCGCTGGTGATCCGGGAGGTGTTGGTGAATGTTCAGATGGTAACGACATAGTTCGGCGATTCGGCGACGGAAACTGTGTGCCCATCGAACGCCTGGATGGCGACGGAAACTGTGTGCCTAACGAACTCATAGGTGGTGGTGTCCGCACACCAGTTGAACGACCACTATTGCTGTCGTATGATAAAGATCGGGATCTTGTCGGTGATGATGTCCTACTACCAGCAGCTCTATGCCAACTGTCCGATGATGACGATTCGCCACTACCTACAGTTGGAAATCCAGTTGATTGCGATTGTGTTCTTTGTTGAATAGATGGCAACGGCGAAGACTGTGGTCTAAAATACTGTTCGGCTCCGTTGGGCAATATCGGCCGCATTACTATTGGACGCATTGGGCCAAAAGGAGTCGGCTGTCTCTCTGATGACGGCCTTTGTGTAAAGTCTGGCAATCGGTACATAGGTTTTCGCGGATCCATTTCTGCACCTGTACTTTGATTTTGCTGATCTATCTAGAGTTTCTGTTGTTGTTTTTTTTGTATACTAATTCTTTGATGTATTTAATCCTTAATCGCTTGAATTATTGTCTGTTTTTTTTAATACTAACCTCTTGAGTGTAAAACTGTTTTAGTTTTTGTTTTTATGATTTTTTAATTTTAATTTGAAAAACTATTGTTTGGTAATTATTGTTATTTTTTTTATTTCTTTCAAACATTAGAGGTCAACAATAATATTTTTTTTTGTTGATTGTTTGATCGATAAATAAATTGATTTATTTATCCAGTATATAGATAATTGATAAATTTTAAAACTGAAAACATTTTAACCAAAAAAAAAACTTATCATAATTTTAATTATGTTTACCTATTTCATCAATAATTTTACATAAAATATATTATTAATTCAATGCAATTATTTTTTTTTAATATTTTTGATTTGATTAGAACGGTAGGTATTTTTTGAAGATTTGTTTCTATAAGATACTGATATATTTTTTTCATATAAATTTATATATACTATCCAAGTGTTTAAAATATATCGGTGTATTACTAGTTGTCAATGCAATTATTAATTAGAAATATTATTAAAAACTTGTCAAAAATATGTTCAATAGATAATCAATTATGTCATAAATTTTATGATAAAAACTATTTGAATACTTTTGTATAGTTTTTATTATAAATATAAGTCAATTTTATTATACTATTTATTTAACATTTATCCATACAAACCAATTGTAATATCTTTACAATAAATCATTAATTAATTTATAGTACATTTTAAATTAATTTTAAATTAATTTGTATTAATATTACTATTACCTAATGATTAGTGAATTAGAGAGCACTGGTATGTGTTTTAAGCTCTTTACTGTTTTTCTAATCTAACCTAACCTTTCACTACTGTTCTTCTTCTTCATATCGATCATACTGTCCACGTCTTAGGTTACACGACACTGCTTTGATAACCGAACTCATGAGTTGGAATGTATTGTTTTTGTTAGCACCACCACCACTACCTCTTGTACTGACAGACCATTGGTGACTGGGGTCGGGAAACGGCGATCGACGCGATGCAGTCGGTTCGGGATCACGGCGAACATACTGCTGCTGCTGATGATTCACTACTGACCAATCGGCTGACAATTGATACGATCGGCGACCGGACGTTTCAAACTTATTGATCTGACCAAAAGACGACTTTCCCGGTATCGGTTGAATCGGTTGGACTTTATGTTTAGGTATGTCGTGATAGCGTATAACCGAATCGAATCGGACAACCGATCGCTGTTGTGTCGGTCCTATCGAACGAATTGGCGCCGATGGTGGCGACGATGATGTGGACCAACCGTTTATCCACTGGTCAGCCATAGTCAAGTCGGTCGAGCCTGTCGTTGATGATGATGATAATGATAATGATGATGATGGCTGCGACAGTTGCGGCATTCCGTATGGCCACTGTTCTTCTTCTGGCACAACTGGTCTCAATACTAGATAGCTTGGCTTTGGTTTTTGGAGATCCATATCTACCGGTGCTCTAAATGTGTTGTCTCAACTAACTTAATGATAATTTGAAATTAATTTTTATGTATATGTCTTGATCTCAATAATATCCAAATAGTCTGTATACTTATCATAATCTTCTCTATCCTAACCAACTAAGTCTTATGTTTGAAATTTTGTTTTCATAACAAAAAAAAACTTATTTTCAACTGTTGTCACAATGTAGTCATAATGTCATGAAAACATTTTTTTAAAAATCAATTGAATTTTTAAAAATAATTTGTATTATGTATTTTTTCCTATTCCGTTATATTAAACATAAAAAATTATAAATTAAAAAAAATAATAGATTAGTTTATGTATAGTTAGTTAACTGTTTTAGTGCCAATGTTTTCTAAATTAAATATTATTTAATTTTTTTTTTTAAAACTATAACCTAAAACAAATCGGTCGGGAAATCGGAAGGAAAAATTGGCAAAATCGGGAAATTAATTTTTGTTTTGTTTTTTTTTCTTATAATACTAATAATAAATAGTTTATATGTCTAAAAAATCGGTTATATTTGTTAGAAATAATTTATTTTCAGTTTTTAATTGATTATAAAAATGCATTTAGTTTTAGTTTATAAACTACACATTCTTTTATTGATTGAAAAAAATATTCACTAATTGAGTACAGTATTACAGTATATACTGTATGTTTATAATACATATAAAACTACATTTTTAAAGTGTTTTAATTTTTTTTTTAATAAATATCACATTTATTGATATTGGTGGCCATTATTGGGGAAAAAACAACGCAAAAAAACAACAGACAAAAACGTTGTTTTTCTTACGATTATAATGATTGCGACAAAAGTTATGTTCAAATAGGTTCACTAAAGCGCCACCAAAAAAAATTACCATGGAGATTTCTATTTGTAATAGTTCAGTTAGGACAAGTTCAGAAAGTTTATGAAACGACATGAATATATTGTGGATCATTCATCTCAATCAAGTAAACGATCGACTGGTACTATGGATTGGAACAGTCCATCACTGGAAGTAATCATAGATGTAATCGTATTGTGTTATACCATAGAGTATAGCTTCGGTCTCGACTTTCTTTTTGACTATTGTACTATTTTCTGTAAACTAAACAAAAGCTAACATCTATAGTAAACTTAGGCAATTTATTATAATAATTTGCTAGTAATGACAGATTCAACCTTTATACTTTTTAATTAAAAATTTTATTTATTTAATATTGACTAATATATGCAACAACTGATAATAGTTGTTGACAACTATTATCAGTTGTGCTTATTATGCAAAAATTATAAAATATTTTTATAAATATATTTTAATACAAAAATAATAATGATAAGGTTTTTAAATACTTTTTTTTAAAACCTATAATTTACGGGTTTTAGTATACATTATAATACTGTTTTTAATACATAAAATTAATACTATTTGTTATTTTTTTGGGTTTTATTTAAAAAAAACTATTGTTTAAATAATAATACTGTAGTTTATATAATACTATTTTTAGTTAATACTAATTGTATAATTGATTAAGTAGTGATAATACTAAGTGTTATATTACATATTTGTAATACTGTTTGGTGTGTTTGTGTTGTGTATAATAACTACTACTACTATTATTATAACAACTACTACTACTATTACATTATACTACTAATACTGTAATTGTTACCATAAATAATACTATACGGTAAATGAAAACTTTATTGTACTATTGTAATACTGTATTATAATTATAATTATAATTATTATAATTATTATTATTATAATTATTATTATTGTAGTTATTATTATTATGATTATTATTATTATAGTTATGATTATTATTATTAATTATTATTATTAATATTGTAATTAATGAATACAGTCAGGTAAAGACATGCAATTTGATGTCGGTGGCGCCATCTATTGATGGCCACCGACACTAAATATATTACACTAGAGTTGAGAACGGGACTCCCGGTTTCGGTCCCTGCGGGATAAACCAGGAGTCCCGTCCCGAAAGTTAAATTTATACTTAGACGGGATAGCTACCCGGGTAAACCGGATAGTTGTCCCGTCCAACAAATATACACTACTTTTAGAAAAATAATACTAAATAGGGAATATTATTATTTAATGGGGAATAATACTTTTATTTAATGGGAAAATAAGTAAAATAAGTAGAAATACATATAAGTAGTGAACATAATACTGTAATAGACAACACATTTGCACACCACACTATTAGTGTGGAGTGCAAACAAAGAGTTGTCATTCATTAAGTAGGTATAAATACTGCTGTAATTCTCATTGTAAAGCCATTAAGTGTTGAGTTAAGGACTTCGAATAGTCAGCTCTAATACTGTGCTACGGTTTGCATCGAACTGCAAACCCAATACTACAATAGTAATACTGTTATAATACTTATGTAATAATATTTAACAATTATAATACTTAAATAAATAATACTAAATAGGGAATATTATTATTTAATGGGGAATAATACTTTTATTTAATGGGAAAATAAGTAAAATAAGTAGAAATACATATAAGTAGTGAACATAATACTGTAATAGACAACACATTTGCACACCACACTATTAGTGTGGAGTGCAAACAAAGAGTTGTCATTCATTAAGTAGGTATAAATACTGCTGTAATTCTCATTGTAAAGCCATTAAGTGTTGAGTTAAGGACTTCGAATAGTCAGCTCTAATACTGTGCTACGGTTTGCATCGAACTGCAAACCCAATACTACAATAGTAATACTGTTATAATACTTATGTAATAATATTTAACAATTATAATACTTAAATAAATAATACTAAATTTAATACTTGTGTTCACTTAATTGAATTACAACTACTCAACGGTGAGTCATCTGGAGTAAGGCGGCAACTGCCAGTAGGCAGACGCCGCGTTGTGTTCATCGGTTCGTGTGGGGCAGCTTTCAGGCCTCTCTCTCTCTCACCGGTGTAAAACCGGCGACACAACACAATATAATGAAAAAAATAATAATATAAAAAACATTAATATAATATAATATAAAATATATCTGAAAAAATATATGTAATAAATTTTACTGTATATAATGTCTAACATAATAACTACATTATAATAGTTAATTAGTGGTTAAATGGTTTTTTACAGTATTTTTATGTATAATTATATTATTTGTTTGTTTTTAATAGAAAAGTTTATGTGTCTTAAAATAATATAATAAACAAAACAATTGTTTATATTTACAAAAAATAGATTTCTTTAGCTAAACAATTGTTATTTATATTAGAAATATCTTTAAAATTTATTTTGCTCTAAATATTATTTTTGTTAAATTACTTATGATATAATTATTACAACTGCAATGAAATTACTAATTATATGATTATTAAATATTTGGCATTACAATTTTAAAAAAATAATACATTTTATTGTTTGTTAATTTAAATAATTAATTGTCATAAAGTCATTGTTCTTATAAATACTAGCGTTATATTTATATGTTAATTGATTAAAAGTTTTAAAGTGAGTTTTAAAAAAAAATAAATTAATTTTATTTTTTTAATATTTTTATTACATTATCTTTTAAAGTTGTCTGTTTACATATTACTGAAACTAATATTATAACACATTTGTTCATAAGTATGTTAACATTGTATTATGATGAAAAAATAATTTTGTTATTTATTTTAAATAAAAATAGTACTTTTTAAACAATATCGATTAGTTTTATATATCGATTATTGTTAAATATTGATTAGTATTATATATCGATTAGTTTTATATATCGATTATTTTTATATATCGATTAGTTTTATTTATCGATTAATGTTATATATCAATTAGTTTTATATATAGTTAACTTTTCTGTACCGATTAATGAAATGTCGTTATATACACAACTAATATAGAGTATATATTTCAATAAGATTCAATAATATTCAATAATAATTGTCAGGTATGCCGAGTGAAACATACAGTTGCTTAACAATATAAAATAAAATATTTATTTAAAATTTGAAGACGGCTTACAATATAATATTTAATACAAAAATTACTATTGATAACAATAATATAGTGGTATCCTATACTTAACTAAAAGGTTAGGTATATAGGGTGTATAGTAATAGTGGTATACTATGTTAGTCCAACTGAGAGTGATTTGTGTTTGTGTGATGTTTGATTTTGAGCTTTATAATAATATGTTGTATGCTTGTGTAAACATTAATGTCCAATTTTGTATGGTTTATTATCTATATTTTTCTTGTATATACTGGTTTATGGCAATTGTGTTGTATAGATTGTACAATAAGTATATTGTATATGTATTGTATGTGAAATACAGTATATGTATTTATTGTATTTAAATGTGTTATCTATACAGTATATGTATAGTAATATTTTTGTATATAAATGTGTTGATTTCTATACAGTGTATGTATAGTATTGTTGTGTATGTGTCAGTATCTGACATAATTAAGAAATTCACTCAGATATTTATTTACAAAAAAAAAATAATTTTAGCTAAGTTTATGTTGTTATTTAAAATTAAAAGTTTTTTAAAATACATTTTTTTTACTTGAGATCTGTAGTAAATGAATAATAACTGTACAAACAATATATTTTTATTCTTTTAAACTATATCAAAATAAAATAATTTTTAAACTTTGAGGTGTATTAAGCACCGTTATTGTTAAATCATCAACCATATTTATCGTAACTTTATGTCTTAACAATATTGTATTTTGTTACGATTTAATAAAAGTACATTAAATGTACAAATTATGTCTGACGGCCGACAAACCTCAGATTTTTATAAAAGCCGATTAATTAATTTTTGAAGGACAGTATTCGACTATATTATATCAGTAATAACCTCTACATACACAGAAATCGCTTAAATCCCACCGCTGTCACCATATATGATGTAAAGCAGACAGGCTAAGATTTTGATTCTGGTCGCGCAGTGGCCTCTATCACCCTCATCGGTGATATGTCATCATTGATTTTGTTCATTTAAAAGTAATAAATAATTCCGTCGACTACGGTGGCCACTACCTATGGTACTACTACTTAAATAACCTTACGACAATAAATTACGTCCAAAATTACGTAAAGAAATAAAAGGTAACTTATAATTATCTAAAAAAGTCTTTACAACTTCAA